AGTTTCTGCTGGGACACATTGTTCTTCCTCTGAAAGTTCAATTTTGGGATTGCTAAGTCAGGCTGGTCTCAGCATTCTTCACTACCAGTGTGACTTGCATGAGCTGTGAACCTCATGAAGTTCAGTGAGGCCACATACAAGGTCCTGCACATGGGCCAGGGAAATCCCAGGCAAAGTGCAGGTTGGGCAGGGGATGGACCAAGAGGAGCCAGCCCAGGGGAAAATGACTTGGAGGTGTCCATAAATGACAAGCACAACATGACCTGGGTGTACATGCTCCCAGCCCAGAAAGGGAAATGTATCCTGGGCTGCATCCAAAGCAACATGGCCAGCAGGTCAGAGGTGAGACTGCACCTGGAGTTCTGCATCCAGGTCTGGGCTCCCCAGCATAAGAAGGATGTGATCCTTTTAAAGTGAGTCCAGAGAAGGTGATCAGATGGTTGGAGCATCTCTCCTATGAAGACAGACTCAGGGAGCTGGAGCTGTTCAGCCTGGAAAAGAGAAGGCACCTTCCAGTACCTGGAGGGGACCAACAGGAAAGCTGGAGAGAGATTTTTTATGAGGGTGTGTGGTGACAGGATAAGGAGGAACAGTTTCAAACTGAAAGACAATAGGTTTAAATTAGGTATTTGGAAGAAATTCTTTATTTCAAGGGTGTTGAGGCACTGGAACAGTTTGCCCAGGGAAGTCATAGATTCCCATCCCTGGAAGTGTTCAAGGCCAGACTGGATAGAGTTTTGAGTAACCTGGACTAGTGGAAGGTGTCCCTGCCTATGGAAGTGATGTTGGAACTTGGTGATCTTTAAGGTCTCTTCCAACCCAGGGTATTCTGTGATGCTGTGAAATGAACCAGATCAAGAATGTGTTTTCAAGCCTTGCAGAAAGGCTTCTGTGTCTGTGTACCTGTCACTAAGTGTGCTGGTCTTGGCTGGAAAAGGGTAATTTTCTTCATAGTAGCTGGTATGGGCTAAATGTTGGATTTGTGCTGGAAACAGTGTTGCTAATTCAGGGATGTTTTTGATTTTGCTAAGCAGTGCTTATACAAAGTCAAAGCCTTTTCTGTTTCTCACCTCACCCCACCAGCAAATGGGCTGGAGGTGCACAGGAAATTAGAAATGGGGCACAACCTGGACATTCAACCCCAACTGACCAAAGGGATATTTTGTACCATATGGCATCATGCTCAGCACAGCTGGGGAGAGAGAAGGAAGGAGGGGTTTAACAAGTAGAAAAAAAAATACTTGGCAGAATTTAGGAAAACTTGGAAAAGTGACACTGGTACACTTTTTCATTTTTTTCATGCCAATTTAGTAATGAAGACAATGGAGTTGCTTCTTAAGACATGATTAAAAAAGAGATCTGAAAGGGTTTTCCAGTTCATCCTATTGCTTCAGAGAAAAATCCACTCTATGTAATCAGCTCCTGACAGATATTTGCTCAATCTGACCTTGAAAATTTGCAGTTATGCTGATTCTTCAGATCTCTCCAGTCAGCTACTGTGTGACATTTTTTACAGTTCAAAAGCTTTTTGTAAACTATAACTGAAATCTTCAAGTTGCAATTTAAGGCTTTTACTTCTTACCATATCAATGGACATGAAGAATTTTTGTATCTCTCCAAATGCTGGAACAGGCTTCATGGAGAGATGGTCAGTCCCCAGGCCTGACAGTGTTTAAGGGGCATTTGGACAATGCCTTTAACAACACACTTAAACTTTCAGTCAGCCCTGAATGGGTCAAGCAGTTGGACTGCATGGCCATTGTTGGTCCCTTCCAACTGAAATATTCCATTTCATGTTCTCATTTTGTCAGCCACCATTATATACAAGTCAAGTAATCTGTTTAAAAGCAAGTACTTTGAATTAAGTTGACGGTCTCATTGACTGTGCTGAACTTTGATTTGGTACTTTAGAGTCTATGGCTGTAAAGATCAGATAGCAAATCTCAACTATGCACATAGTTCCTAGTACTTTAATGTAGACTGTGTAGATATGCTGTCTTTATTCAAATATACATGACTGGGGGAGAAATCATAGAATGGTTTGGGTTGGAAAGGACCCTAAAGATCATCTGCTTCCAACCCTTCTGGGTACACACTAGTGGGTACACACTAGACCAGGTTGCTCAGAGTCCCATCCAGCCTGGTCATACAAACATACAGGGAAAGGGAGTCCACAACCTCTCTGGGGTAGATTTTATGTAGACACAGAGAGGGTCAATCCATAAATTTCTGAGAAATGCATGAGTACTTTATATGGATGAAATAAAAATCAGAATGCCACATTTTTTCATTTGTTTTTCCACAGGCTACTGAAAACTTTGGAAAATAGTGGAACCAAATAGCTCCAAGAAGATTTAGGGTGTTAAGTATTTCTCAATAAATCCTTTATGATCAAATTATACTTATATTTATTATATATATATAATTATACTAAAAATTACTCCTAATGCTTCACTTATAATTCTAAAAGAAAAGATTGAGAAGTAGATTATTTCACTGCTAGAAAGCCAAGACTGGAAAATACAGGTTTATCATACGGCAAAAAGAAGGTGGAAAAGACAAAAGGAATAGCTGTGAAATTTGTGCACGGTGCAGCTGGAAGCAAGTTCTGAAGCTTTCTGGGTTTATTTTTTACCGGGAAGAATGTTTCAGGATAAAATAAATCCATTACATAATACAAAAGTAGATCTGGCAGCATTAATAGAGCAGCAGGATGACTGATAGGCACAGTCAGAACCACACGAGATTATGGCTAATGCTTGAATTAGTGCAACCCCAATGCATTACTATCAATGCAGTGACTGCAATCAGCTACAGAGTAACTGCCCATCCCCTCATTCTGCTGGATCTGCTTAGCAGCAATGACTTGGATTCCTATTCCAGACCTTATTTCCTGTGACATACTATAGCTCATCTGCTATGAAGACCGTGTCATGTTTGAAAATGCCTCTTAGGTGGATCTCTTAAGCCTCTCATATTAACCCAGTTCTTACATACTTAAATGCAATCTCCAAATAAAAAAAAAAATTATTTCAGTGGCACACAGGTACTCTCATGCCTCACAGTCAGCATCTGAAGTTCAAAGGCAAATGTGGAAGCACAAGTATTTAAGGTATACTGGATCTCTATGTGTGTGTGTCAATTTGTTTGTCTTCTGGACATTGCAAACGAACAGCTTGTTTACAAAGCAACTGACTAACACACATGCACTGAAATTCTCACCCTGCAAACCTGGTGATTTTCTGAGCATACAAGCCTTGAGTTGAAAGGCTTTTGTGAGGGAAAACCATCACAGTGCACATCAGCTACAGAGAAAACCTGTGCATGCACACTGTCTGGGTTCAGTAGATATTTGGAAGCTTTTTTGGAATTACTGCACTGCACTGGCTGCCAAACATCTGGAAGTCAGAAGAAAAGTGTAGAAAAGTGGCAGGGAAGAAAATGACTAGCAAAAGCAGCTGTGTCCCATAAAAAAATGGTAGTCTGCCATTCTGGGCTATAGTAGGATTTGAGAAAGGCATCAATCTGGGACATAGAGCACAGTGGGTTTAAGAAACTTCAGAATTTTTTTTTCCTTCAAAGGGCTCTAAAAAAAGCCAGTGAATCTGAAATCAGTCTGAAAAAAAGGATATTTATGAAATGCATGACTAAACTCAGTGCAATCAGAGTATTAACTTGAAATTTAAAAGTTTGAGTATGAGCTCTAAGAAGTTAGCCTCTTTTGTGAGCAGAAATATCTGACCAATGATATTCCCCATTTCCAAACTCCTGACAGCTTCTCAGTTTATAAAATCTCCAACTTTCTCTTTCCAAACCATCTGTCAACACTCCTAGCTTTTCCCTTGGGAACTTCTACATTGTGGTTGTTCATCACACTAAAATCAGCACAAAATCCAGTTACTGCAGAGTCTTGAACCTTGAATATGTGCATGCATAAAAAAAATAAACTTATTGTAATATAAAATAAATAACTCAAAGAATACTCATGTGATTACTGTATTTATATTTAATTAATGGCAAGCACTCAGTATTTAAAACTACGTAAAGATGCTGCAAAATTTCCAGCCTCCTGCATTGAAGTGCTTAGGTCCTTACTAAATATATGTTCAACTTGTTGTGCCCTTGAGAAAATGCATTTATAATCTGTATAATATCCTCTAATATATTAAAATATATGGATCTGATCTTTAGATAAGGGATATTTAGACACATGCTGTGAGCTCCTAGCCTGAAGTTCGGGATAAGGTTTGCTTTGCCTGAGGGTAGGTGCCTGGAAGTTGGGTGTTTGAGTCTGATGAACTAGAAATTCACTGTGCTACAGTCACTGAGGGAGGGAGGCACCATGAGGAGACATTTCTAGGTAACCACCCTTAGAGAGGTGTCCAGAGTACAAAGGATAACCCAAAAGTCGAGGTGCCTGCTTCCCTCCACTGCCTGTTGGAAGAGCACAGAGGACTGGTTTCATGCAGCTGAGGTGTGAGTGATGCAGCTTTTGTACATGAGCACAAGGGAGGCTCTAGAGCACAGAGAGATGAGTTTTGGGACACAAATTTGGCCAGCATGCAATAATGTGATGAGCCCTGAGAGTCCACAACATGATGGCAATCAATCAGGCTGGGAAATCTAGCAGGAAGTTGGATAGAGCTGTAAAGCAGAATGCTCATACATGTTGTTTCCACAGTTAGAGCCCAACAGGGAGCTTGATAGCTAAACAAAACCTGCCCTGGATCAATGACTGTTTTGGGGAACTCTGTAACCACACTGTATTATTGTCAGTATAAAACTGCATGGTCTGTAGTTTGTGTTAGCTAACATAAGAATTAGTAAGAATATAGGAATTAAAGAGTGAGAAAGCAGGTTTTAAGAGAGGAAATAAAAGAGAAAACTCAGTTATCTGGATATTACAATAGCAAGTAAGTGTATATTTACTGTATTATAAACTGTGATGAGTAGCATTAGCAGCATTTTTGGGTAATGGAAAATCTTCTTTCCTTCCACAGATTGCTGAAAAATGCCCACAGCATGGCTACCTGAAGAATTCTGAACAGAGGAGGAATGAATCAGAGAATCAAAGAATAGTGGCTGCCCTGGATGCCTGAACAGGTGCCAAATTCTAATAATTTCAGTAACTGCATTAATTTCAGTTTTCAGTGTGTTAGTTTCAGCTGATCATACCAGAGACTCAGGTGACTTCCTAATTGTTTTCTGGAGAAAAAATATTGTCTGAAGTGATTCTTTCTTAAAATAAGAAAAAGGTTGAAATAAATGTTGGAAATTTTGGAAACTCATCCACTATCAAATCAGAATAATGCTCTAAAACAGGGAACCTGTATGTGGAAGGATGGAAATGACACTTGTGTACAATGCCAACAAAAGCAATAAAAAAGGACTGATCCTTAATCTGCAGTGAGTCTGCTCAAGGGCAAGAAAAAAATCTATCTGTTTAGCTAGATCAGATGAATTTACCCACAGGATTTCCTGTTGAGTTACTGCATCAGGCAGAATCATTTATTTGGCATGTTATTCTTGAAAAATTGTTGTTCTGAGCTATCCAAAGTCCTTCCATTTATCTTTCTGATAAAAGCTCTCAGCTGTCAGGTAGTGGGATGTCTGGCACTTACAGACTTATTTCACTGCATAAATACTTACGAGAAAAAAGAGAACTGCATGCAGACAGAATACTGTAATATTCCCTGAAGAAAGCTTTTAATCAACAGCTTCAAAAGAGTGCTCTGTTAATGAGCAACTGAAATGTTATAAATTCAGCCAACAGCCTCTATGTTTAATTTAGTCAGTCTTCCTTGCAGCTTGAGAGCACAAAAGACCAGTGTCAGTGGCCTGCAGGCCTTTGCAGTTGCTGCCCAGTGGTTAACCATGGGAAAGAAAAGCTATTGCAATTTAATTAGCTGAAGAGTAATTTCTAGGTAATACTGATAAAATAATCAGCTAGAGGCCAGTGAACAGCTGGCATGAAAATCAGACAACATAATGTCTGAAAAGTTTGATTTGTATTCTCAAAACAGCTTTATTCCCAAAAAGCCCCCCAGCCCACCCCTCTACAAAACAATGTATTGTTTCTTGAGCCCATGTTTTTAGGCTTGTTTGAATTCTGCTTGCTTGGCTGAGATCAAGGCAATTCCTGGCAGCTGGATTTCAGCATATTCATTAAAGGCAATACTGTATCATTGCTTTAAAAAGGTAGTAGATTGTAAATAAACAGTGAACATGATGACTCTACAAAAAGCTAACACAGCACTAAGCAGCAGTTTAGCCAAAGGCAATTTCAATTGTTAATGTTTACTGTGGGAAGGTTTCAGCAATTCTGAAGGTCTTTTTCCTGAGCAGTGCTGTTCTAATGCTGAGCTCCTGTGCCCTCTTGCTCTGGGGCTGGATCAGCCTGTAACAGGGCAGTTCTTCCCAAGCACTTCTGTAATCAGCTGATCATAATAGTGTGTCTTGCTGATATGAACTTTTTCTTTACTTCAGAAGAAATACTTATATATACACAATTGAAAGAAAAACCTTTCAAGATCATGTTTCTTTGCTCATACCAAGATTGTCATCCTAGTTCACAGTTATAGAAGTGTTGGCTTCACAGTGTTGTGTTCAGCCCCAGTGCTGGCATGTGGTTATACACACATCAGGTGTGCACAAACAGATTTGTCATTTATATCACTGCTACCACATGGAATTGTTTTAGAAAGTAGAAATGTTACTCTAGAAGCAGCAAGTTAGATCTGTGAGTGCTGGCACCAGCACCCGCTGAATCTTTTTCCTATGGGGTGGAGTCTCTCCCATGTGTGAGCTGACAGTGAGCTGACAGCACCTCCTCAGCTGGTGGTTCCTGGAATCTCCTTTTCTTTGAGATGTGTGTCATTTGGTTGGTGTTGCACAGTAATGAACATGGAAACCTTATTTCCTCAGAAAACCAATTGGAACTGCATAATTCAGACTGTGCATTACTACTGGTTTCAATGGAGCTCTTGACAAGTTTTAAGCTTAAAAACCAAAAGTGCCATTTGGTCCTTTTCCAGGCACCTCTTTAGGAGGGATGCTGATCTAAAATAACTGCTTAGTGTGAAATAAAAGCTCCCATACTTAGGGTGAAATCTGGAATCTGGATTTCAAAGAACCAGATTTTCATCTTGAGACCCTCACCTACATAATCCACTCAGAGGCTCTGTGGCATCTTGGAATTAGCAGGCAACTATTTATCTGCCTGATATACTGATGACAAGGACATAATTTATACAGAAATTTCTTCTTTCAGCCTTGGCCTTTCTATTCCATTGTTGCTTGAAACTGGACACACAAGCACTATGAAAAAAGGTCTAATTTTCTCCATCTGGAAGCTGAAGATAATACTACCTAAACTAGAGGGATATTGTGAGCATTCCTTGTTATAGTAGTTCATTTCTAAATAATCTTTTGTAATAAAATTGTTAAAACCATTTAAAAACTAGTGTTTTATTAAAGTTTAGTGGTGAATATTTACATATTCAGCTTCTACTGTTAGAACACCAGTATTTGTTTTATTTTATTGCATTTTTAGCTGGTTAATAAGATTTCTTAATTTAGAGTTGCATCTCTCTAATGACCTTTGCTGGATGCTAAATTTTAGATTACATTTACATATGAGACACTCCTATTTTGTTAAGTAGGAGACATGTTATGGGCATAATCAGTTTATCTTAAGCTGTAATTCTATGTCTAGCAAGGATTCAAATTTCTAGGATGTATAATGGGTTAGTAAAATCTGGTAAAGCATCTTTGAGATAAATCCCAGCATATGAGATCAGTTAGATCTAGCTGTAAAATGGAACAGAAGCTTAATTTTAATTTTCATTTGCACAGCTTGGTGCTTTACTTTTTTTCTTTTACAACTTGACAGAGCTCTATCTGAAATTTAAAAAATGCAGGAACTGGATGAATCTTTTGAATATGCATTAACTAAATGGGAGAAACAAAACTAAAGAAAAGTAGCTAGTTTCATGTAAAGGTAGATTTTCTATTCCATGGAAACGAATTTGACTTCAATGTAAATCCTCTGGTGAAAGGATGTGCATGCTTTGCAGCTACAAGATCCTTATTACACAGGCTATGTGGGCACTGAAATAGTACAGGCAAAGCAAGAGTAACAATTTCAGTAGGAGATCTACAGTTCCAAATGAGGTCAAGGCATCATTGTGAAATTAGGAAGCATCTGGTTTCTTTAGGTTCATATTTTAACCTTTGTGTTAACAGTGTCACTTTCATTTTTAGTTGTGTGCAATATATCATGTTTTGGGGGTTTGTGACCGTGTTCACAGGGGTCTTAGGATGAGGGAAGAGCTGTAGATCTGACTCCATATTTCAGAAGGCTTGATTTATTATTTTATGATATATCTTACATTAAAACTATACTAAAAGAATAGAAGAAAAGGTTTCATCTCAGAAGACTAGCTAAGCTAAGAATAGAAAGGAATGAATAACAAAGGTTTCTGACTTGGACAGACAGTCCAAGCCAGCTGGCTGTGATTGGCCATTAATTCCAAACATCCACATGAGACCAATCACAGATGCACCTGTTGCATTCCACAGCAGCAGATAACCATTATTTACATTTTGTTCCTGAGGCCTCTCAGCTTCTCAGGAGGAAAAAATCCTAAGGAAAGGATTTCATGAAAAGATGTCTGCGACAGGGGTTTACTATTTTTATGCAATTACAGTCCTTGTGACAGAAACTGGACAAGCTCAGCTGCAGGACTGAGCTGCTGTTTAAGCACAGAGCTTACAAACTGGCAGTGCAAACATTTTAGGGCAGTCACTGCAATTTCATGCTGAACTGCCAAGGGAGTAAGAAATTGCCTATATACACAAAATACCCCCAAAAGTTATACACTTAAAATACAGTCGATTTTTCTGAAACTGGTCCATGTTTTGGAGTTTGAGAAGCTAACTCTCAGAGCCTTCTCACACTTCAGCATCTGAGCCAGCCCAGGAACTGCCAACAATCCCCAGTGTCCTTGAAGAGTCACGGTAGATTTTGTCACCTAAAATCTGCATGTGACTGATAACGCTTCAGGGGGAAGGGAGCAACACTTGTGACAGCTCTCAGGAATCATCTCTGAGAAACAGGACCTTGGGAGTGGCAGGAGAAGTTCATCCTGAGCAGGAGCATCCTCAGTTCCCACCATTCTCAACCTCTTCCTGTTGATCAGAAACATCCGCATCTTATCAACCTCTTCCTCCTGATCCTGTGCCCAGAGCTGAGCTTTCTTCCTCTTAGAGCTGGCAAGATGGGGAAGGTTTGTAGTATCTGTACAGAGGGTGTCAGAAGTACTGTGTCGGATGGTATCTGAAGCATTTTATTAACCCTGAATGGGTTAGGAAAATGGTACCTAGAAACACTGCTTCCTGCAGCATAAGTAGTACAGAATTCTATTTTTAGGTAGTATTTTGTTTGTTTGCACTGTGTCATTTAACATACTGTGGGACAAGTAATAGAATTTCACCCTGGTTCTCCTTCATTTTTGAGATAATTCTTGATTAGCCAAATGAAAAGTTCCTAAAAAAATTAACTACGAAGTCAAAACCAAGCACTGCTTCTTGCATGTCTGTACCTATTTATCCACGGCCATACATTCCAAACGCGCTCAGGAACAATCTTCGGCACTGAAATTGCTTCCACTGTTACACTTCCAGAGCTTTTCCCAGCCCAAATGTGGCTCTTGTCAAGCAGCATTGTCACCAGCCCTTCCCGGCCGGGGGCAGCTGGGAGGGACCATTCCGGGAATTTGGAGTCCTGGGTCTGGAGCTGTCACCAGCGCCGGCACAGGCTGGGCTGGGCGCTGCATTTACTGCTTGCACGAAACCCTGCTATCCATGACAAGTGTCTCAGCTCCGTTACACACACTTCCCAAAAAAAGACTCCAGGTTATTCCAGCCGCGGGATTTCCCAGTCAGAGCGGGTGTGTCCCGCAGGAGCGCATTGCTCTCAGGCAGCCCTGTCGCAGGAGCCGCGGCACGCAGCTCCCGGGGCAGGTGAAGGCAGCGCTCTGTGCTTGCTGAACGTGGCCACAGTGGGATATCGGCTGGAAAATGCTTTCCGCACCTGCCTGCTCTGGGGCACTGAGGAGAACGGGACCATTAAAACCAAGCCCCAAGCCTGCCAGAGCTCCAGGAGCGCTTGGATAACGCTCCCAGAAGGACGGTGGGATCGCTGGGCTGGTCCTGTGCAGGGCGAGCAGTTGGATTCGATGATCCCTGTGGGGCCCTGTGGGTCCCCGCGGGTCCCCTCCCACCCGGGACATTCCCGATCCCCACCTACCCCGGGACGCGGCACTGCGGTTTGCGCTGCCCCCCTGCGCCCCCCGGCGGCGGCGGCTGGAACTGCCCCGCGCCTGCGCGCCCCCAAAGGCCGCCGCTCCGCCCCGCCCACCACAATGTCAAGATGGCGGCGTCTGCAGCACGCTCAGCGGCCCGGCGGCTTCTCTTGCCCTGGTCCGCCCGCCTGGTGCGAGCGCCCGGCGCGGCGCAGCGGGTGAGGCGGTGGGGAAGGGAACGGAACGGAACGGAGCGGAGGGAGGGAGGCACGGGGAGCGTGGGCGCCGCGGCGGCTCCGAGCGCTGGTGCCCGGGCCGCCGCTGAGGGGACGCGGGGAGCTGGAGGCTGTGCGGCGCGGTGCATGCTGGGAGTTGTAGTCGCGGCGCGGTGCTCGGCGGGAGGTGTAGTGAGCGATCGGTGCTCAGGTTTGTGTGCGGCAGGTCCGGGGCTCCGCAGTGTGAGGGGGATGTCAAGGAACCGGAGATGCTCAGCAGGGATGAACTGGGCTGGAACATGCGCCATGTGAGGAGAGGCTGAGGGCCCGGACCTTGTTCAGGCTGGAGAAGCCATGGCTTCAGCTGGACCTGTGAGAAGTATCTGTGCCGGCACCTAGGAGAAGGTTGTTTATAAAACCAGGCCTGTCATAGTGGTGGGATGAGAGACAATGGGTGTAAGTTGAAACAAGAGAGGAGAACCTGGATATGTGGCAGTCAGGCAGTGGAGCAGGCTGTCACAGAGCTGTGCAGTTTCTCACCATTGGAGATTGTCAGTGCTCAGGTGCAAAAAGTCCTGACAAAGTGCTCTGACCAAGTTGGTCCTGCTTGGAGCAGAAAGTTGGGCTACAGACCTCCAGAGGTCTCTTCAAACTGGAATTGTGCTGTGATTCCAAAATAAGTGAGTTCTAGATCTAACGTATTCTAGGAGGAGAGGGGTTGAGAGCTGGATTTTGTACTTTCATGTTTAGGGCAGTTATATGGGGAGAAAAATCTTGGTTTATTTGAAACATTTGAAATCGCAGTTTTCAAGATAGCTGTTTGCTTGAATTTGGGATACATATTTACATTTCTTGTTATTGAAAAATTGCAGTAAGCTTCCCTTCTTTTCTACCCTGCTCTCATTTAATGTGCTTTAACTGCCCCCTGATTGTGCTGTTCTGATCCATGGCTGATGGATTTGCAGTCCTGGCACAGGCCCTTGGGCTGCATCTCAGTTCACTTTAGAAATCAGGTTCCCAGGAGAATTCCTGGTGGTAAAGGTCCTGCAGGCTCTTGCTGGCAGCAGTGGAGAACAAGGGTGTCTGGCTGATGGGAGTATCAGCTCCTGTGTCAGACTGGAGCAGCAGCTGCATCTCCTCACTTGTGGTTATCTTCAGGATTTGTTTCTCATTCAGGTTCCTGCTTTCCTTGTGTGAAGCAGGGGTGAATAGCAGTCCTTAATGCTCTCCCTTAGAAATGCATGCTTCAAGAAGGATCCATGGACTTGATGCTTGAGTTCAACAATACATTTTTCAGAAGAGCATCCTTGGATATAACTAAACAATCGGAGGTGACTGATGATTTTCCTTTCCAGGGTGTGCATGTTGGAACAGGGAGGTGCACAGTTTCCAAAGCAGCAACAGAAGTAATCTTAAATGTCCCTGAAACTAGGGTGAGTCCTTTGGAAAATGGCTTGCAAGTAGCTTCTGAGGACTCTGGACTTTCAACGTGCACAGTAAGTAACTTACAAAAGGAAGGGGTTTTGTATCTGTTCCTGTGTGTTCATTTCCTTGTGGAACTAAATTTCATTTGCATTTCAATATTAATTAACAACTGTTCCTAGAACTTAAGCCAAGGCATAGAAATCTTAAAGTTTTTGTCGATTTGTAATTAAATTTTTTGTGGAGATCAAAATTTTCTTTTTCTTGGAAACCTGCTCTGTTTAAGGAAAAAGCCATAGCAAAGCTTTTAGCTGGGAAAATGACTTTTTTTTTTTTTTTTTCTTCACTGAGGTTGGACTTTGGATTGATGCTGGAAGCAGATATGAAAATGAGAAGAACAATGGAACTGCTCACTTTCTTG